ATCATATAGAACTGAATTATACATGAGGGCTGGAATCTAGCAGTTATGGCTATTTTCACTTTCTACCTAATACACACACACACTACATTTGCTCACAGAAAGATTTGATGGTTTGTATTGTAAGAGCAACATCTCAGACATAGACATGGCCCTCAATTTCGAATGATTTTCACCCTAGCTCCTATCAAAGCAGTTATACTCAGGATAAGGTCTACTTTATTTCACAACTTTGGTCCTGCCTATATATCCTTCAAATTATTCTACTTCTATCTTCTTCCACCCTGTATAAAATGACATATTGAACTCTCAACTTAATGTGCCCAAATACTTTCTATGCACTTACTAATACCTTTCTGTGAATAAATTCTACTTCATTTTCTGTTGCGCAGAGTTTATATTCTCACCATCCTTAAACACATATAATTTTAACAAAGACCACATAAAACAATGTAATCTATTTTAAAAGTAATAATAGTGTATATATCTAAATTCACCATCATCTATTGGTTATTCAATCACAAATTGCCCAGGAATTCTCCCAAATCTGCTTTAGTCTATATTATTTAGAAATATCACTCAATTCCATAAAATCAAGGAACATGAATTAAAAAATTCTTAAGTTTTTTCAGCTCTTGCACACATATTTTTCTGTTCTAACAATTTCAAATAATTTATTTTCAATAAAAGACATTTTAACGAAAAAATTCTTAATAATTTTGCAATGTAAATGTATTAAACTTGGGATTTTAGGACTTCAGAATTTTAGTACATTCTTTTATAATATGTAATGCAAATTAGTAATAGAAGTTCATCTGTGGAGACCACCCGTGTGCTAGACATATAAAATATTTTCATGGGGCTGAGGATTTAGCTCAGTGGCACAGCACCTGCCTGGCAAGCGCAAAGTCGTGAGTTCGATTCCCGGTACTGAAAAAAACAATATTTTCATCCTTGAAGTAAACAAATTTCGTGATCTAAACACTGCTCTGATCTCATAGCTGAGGAAATTAAGGGGTACAATGTGTAGATAAACTCACTATGCATGTTTTGCAGACTCAGTACACAAAGCCCAGAAACCAGACCTGCCCACCCTAAGTTGCTTCCTGCTCTATGATTTATTTTCTTAATTCCATGCAATTATAAAACTCAAGGACATCCTTCACATGTACTTTTTATAATAAACTTTATTGTCCCTTAATTGTAACACTTTAACCCCCCATGAAGTTCTTTTCTTGCCAACACATTGTCAGTATCATTTAAGGCCTCGTATAAATAAAATTCTATTTTTAAAATCAAGATTTTATGAATGCTAAACCTTCTAAAGAGTATTTTAAATTTTCAAAAAGTCTAAAACATTTATGATAAAATGATTATAATTTAATGATCTTTCTTTCATACAAATGTGGCATTTTCATAGTTTACAAGGAGGAAGTTATACGTGTGTACTTAATTTCTTTCCTCTTTCTTGTTCATTCCACAACCAAACCTCCAATATATCAAATAAAAGTACTTCTTAGCTGTATATCTGGACAGATCATTGTTCTTAAATACATGATTCACCTATATTCCTGTAAAGTTTAATTTTAAAAGCTGTATAGGGGCTGGGGATTTAGCTCAGCGGCAAAAGCGCCCGCCTGGCAAGCGCAAGGTCGTGAGTTCGGTTCCTGGTACCAGAGAAAAACCAAAAAAATAAAAATAAAAATAAAAATAAATAAAAAATAAAAAGCTGTATATTCAAAAGGTGAAAAAGGACACAAAGTTCAAGGTCAGTTTCTCTATTCTGAATATTACAATTTGTTTTAGTCATCGCATTTTTTCTGACTCTAACTTTCCCATTAGAAGCAAAATCGCAGATTGTTTGTAAACAAATATCTTCAAGGAATTTAGTAGACATGACACTAGATATCATGCATTTCATGTGATCTTTAAAATATAGTGGGAATTTGAAAATAGTTTTAGGTTTATGCATCTTTCATTTATTAATATTTAATTATAATGCAAAGTATCTCACCCTACCTACAAAGGGCCAATTAGCATTGCAAAGACTCTAAGTAGATCTTCTGCATACCTGATATTTTACTATAAAATGCGATTTAATTCTGGGCTTTTTCATTAGATAATGCATCCTGGACAGATACTCTAGATTTGGAAAAAGAGAGTCTGCGTCAAAAGTGTGTAGAATCTGATTGCTAAATGTTTCTCTTTTATTGGGCATAGTTGAACATAATTGTCTAAGGAAGTTCACTAATTTCTGGGCATAGTTGAGGTTATTTTCTGGAAGGAAATTCTATTCCATGGAACTCCCCTAAAGACGAACCAATGTTTCTCCACTTATACTTTACTCAGTAGAGCTTGTCATTTCAGAGTATTATTAATACCAAAATATCTTTCCTTTTTGCTATGTAAGTTCCAGAATTTAGTGGGGCTTTTGCGATAGTTGGCATATGAGAGATTATTTACAAATCTCTTGGATGATGGTGTGTATGATAATCTTTTTCTATTTCTTCTGGAAGTCAATGTTAATATATGGAAGTACTCAAAAAGTGATCTGCTTAATATTTCCTTGAATAAAAGTAGAAAGGCTGTACTGTTTTACTTGGGAAATTTAGTCAATCAATGTGCACCATCTGTGACAAATGATAACTATATTGGTCATAAATAAAATGCTACTATCTAGCATGATGTCAGGCCAGATAATAGTAGACTCCAAAAGAATACTGAGTGTAGGAATGAATAGTGACTGCACTGCTGATGCAGCAATCATTTAGTCCCAGTTATAGGATAATGTTAACAGAAAACCATGATCTAAATGATTTATATTGAAACATAAATTGGATGTGAGTGGGGAAAACCAGAAAATGGCAGTTTTTTCTTATTTTACTTTTCTCTACTTTTTAAAACTTGCAACTAGCCTACCTTTCAGTATCATGTTTTTATTTGTGTGTGTGTGCTTCTTTGCTCCACTCATATTACCTTTTGTCCAACTAAAGAGATATATTTTCATGACATTCAAAACTACCTTTAAAAATTTGCAAACACATTTGATCCAGAGTCTGATAATGCATCCAGTCTCTGAAAGAAGAAATTCTATATTTAATAGACATCAGGGGGTTATGGTGAGCCCTTTGATTGACTTCTTACCTTTACTCCAGTATAGAATTTGATGAAGTCAAACAAGAGCACCAATTCTACCCTTTTCTGAAACTGTCATAGTTGTGACTGGTGAAAAAGAAAGCAGTTTCCTTACCTTAATTTCTCATGGAAAACTAGGTAGGAAGAATGCAACAAAAGACTTGAAAGAACCTCTGATCCTGCAGCTATTAAAGTCATATCTCTTTAATTATAACTCCAGATGTTCATATCTATACAACACAAAGTAGAAGCACAAGTACCTGCATTACAAACAACATTACATAACTTTCAAATCTGCATGTACTACATCGAGGTGCATTGTAAATAGTTGAAGTTTCCATGGTGACACTGGCCCAAAGAAAGGCACAGAGATGATACAGAGTGATTACATATGTGTCATTAGAAAGAGTTTTCTATTATATTTTGTTCTCTTTATCTTTACTCAGTAAAGGGAATGACTCATCGTTTTGGAAAAATAATGTCCCCAGGTATACCATTTTTGTTACAAGACAATTAAATATATATTTCTTGTAAGTTCTTTTGCTCATACCCTAAGAGATAGAATGGACTCAGATCTATTTGAAATATCCATTGAATGGTGTCCATGGAGGTACTGAAGTGCTAAATTTTAGTTCTTGCCCATTTTTCTTCTACTAAATATTCTTTAATGCCACTTCAGTGAAGTTTAATGCAGTAGTTAAAATACAAAGGCATGGTCAAGCAATCAACACTTCCAAAAAGTTGTTTTCTGACAACATTTTTTTCCCTGTGATTGGTTTCTTTCATTTTTTACAATTGGCTGGTGGCAATGCTGTACCAAAGTGTTTTGGCAAGTGTTCACTGACTTTTGACAGCATGTGGGAATTGAAATTGAAAAAGGGTATTTTATAATCCATAAGAATGGCTTCATTGCATTATTTTATAGGAGGAGTGGTTTATAGCACGAAGATGCTATTTTTCCCTTGTTGGTCATCTGTGTATTTCTTCATTTCCCAGATTTTACCCAATATACAGTTCATGCTTGAAATCAATAAGAAACAAAGCTCAAATAAAAAATGCTGAATCAGGCCCATTATCACCATACTAATTATGCAGTGCACCCACAGTACTGTTTACAATAGACCTAAGACCTAACCATAACATTAAAATCTTAGTCTATTTTGGGAGAAGGCAAGTCTCTACAAACTGTTATTTATCTAGAAAGCCAATGCTCGTTCATTGCATAACACACTGAAAAACATAGTTACTCCTAGTTAGCCCTCCCTAAGCATCATTATATACTTAGATGGCCAATAATTCTTAATTGTGCCAGTAAAATCAGCGAGAGGATTGGTTCTGCAAGAAGATACAAATGCAAGTACTTTATGTAGACTAAATGCCTGGAAACCATGCATAGGGTAAAGTGTGGAGAGATATGAGCTCTGGAGACGAGGTTGAGAGTCATTATTGAAATTATCTAAATGTGCAAAGAAAACCTCAGGTCTCCCTGGACTTCCGTAGTTTTTATTACCTGTAATGTCTCCCTATTTTAAAGTAATTATCCGTATCCCTGTTTATTTATTACAGTTTTGTGATAGTGTCTCTCTGTGTGGTTAATGTAGTTTTCCTAGCAGCAGTGTGTGTTTTGTGTACGTGTGCATATGTAAGAGTGTGCATACGTATGAAGATGAATTAATTACATATTTAAAACATCTGCATTAGCGGCTTCTGCAGTCCTCCCTGGCGGCTCCACTCAGTCGGGATGTTTTGCTGTCACTTGGTGTTAGGACCACTCGGAAGACCTGCCTGTCAGAAGCCTGATGGTGGTTCCCGGGAGGTCGGAGCTCCGGGAGCCTGTACCATCTCCATCTGAAGGGGAGGAGAGAACGGAAAGAGAAAGCTTCCGAGAGAGAAGGCTCTCCTTCCCGCGTCTGAGTCTGGGGTAGCCGGATCTGGATAGCAAGGTTCTAAGATTACACAGCAAATCACCAACTTCAGCACCGCGGACAGCACCACCTCCCGCCGGGGAAGAGACGCGCACCGGGTCCTCGGCCTCAGCCCTCGCGGATGGACCGGGGCCCGTGGGTCTCTTCTCCTTTTTGCTTCCAAACGAGGAGAAGGCAGGGCAGAAAGGTTCTGGCAGCTAGAGGGGTACGGTAAGGAGGAGGAGGAGGAGAAGGACTAGGCAGAGGAGGAGGAGGCATAGGCGGAGGAGAAGGAGGAGCCGGGGAGGGGACAGAGAAGGGAAGAGAAGGGAGGGCTTCCCTCCGCCTGCCGCCAGGGTTTGCAGCCTCTGTGGCGGCCGCGTCCTCAGCTCCACCGGCGACGCCGAGATGCTTCCTCGCGCGGCGCGGCGCTGAGGCCGAGCGTGCGCCCGCTGCGCTGCGCCCCGCACACACACAGTCGCTCCGTGTGAGCGGGCGGGCGGCTGAACCCCTGCGAGTCACGCTGCCCAGAGGCGACGGGGGCGCTCGCCCGCAGTGGCCACGGCAGCAGCACCAGGTCCCTGTCTCCCTTTCATTCTGCAGCCTCCGCTCTTGCGATTCCTCCCCAGCGTCCTTTGGTGGTGATTTTCTTCTTCTTCTTCTTTTTTTTTTTTGTATGAGAAGGAGAGGGCGGGGTAGGTGTCAGTCTCCTCCTCTCCCCCCCTCCCCTTCTCGGTTTGAATTTCTTCCCTCCGGCATTTCACTGGCTCACAGAGCAGGAGCCCAGACCTGCACGGGGCGGAGAGCAGAGCTGAGACCCTCCCGCTGCTGCTTCAAGCCCGCGCGAGCTGGAGGCTGGAGCGGAGCGAGGTGGGGAGCCGCGCAGCACACCGGAGGGATTGGGCTTTCGCTCGCGTCCGAGGACCGCGCGTGCCGCTTGGAGAACCCCACGGAGAGACGGACAGCATCTCCGCAGCGAGCTTGTGGAGTACCGCGGGCCGGCAGGCGAAGGATGCTGGAGGCTCCGCGAGCCGGCTGCAGGGCAGCGCTTTCGCTCTGGATTGTCAGCAGCTTCCTCTGCAGAGCCTGGACGGCTCCCCCCACGTCCCGTAAGTAACCCTCGCCGCCAGCCCGCGCCGCACCGGAGCGGGGTCGGTGCCGCATTGATGTTCCACACCAGGGTAGCAACTCTGAGGTGCAAACGCAGTCCTCGCCCCCTGATTTGTGTGCTTCCCCCGGTCGTCACGCACTTACAGCCGCTGCAGCAGAGCAACTCCAGACCCAGTGCGCTCCTGGTTTGGAGAGAACAGGGCTTTGACGCTGCTGATGTTTCTGGAAAGTTGTTCCAGTCTTGGAGATTGCTTGGCAAGTGCTGGGTTCCAGCGATGAGTGTAGATGGCACCCTTCGCGAGAGTTTCTTGTGCAGCGGGAGCTGATGGCGTTTTACTTAGAAAGATCAGTGAAGAGAAAGTGGAGACCCTGACAAAAAGAAGTTTCTTGTTTTTATTTATGGTTTTCGCTGACACGCGCTTGCGTTTGAGGATGAAAGAGGGATATTATTTTTAACAGGGGTGGGCTTCTGTAGAGTCTTGACCCTCCTCTATCTTCTGAAAAAGTTAATACCTGTTTAGTACATGCTCATGAAAATGAAAGGCAACGTCTCTGAAAATGCTTGAATTGTTTGGCAGTTTGAGATAATGGATAAAACCCACGCAGTTCAGGGCTTGGGATAGTCATTGCAGGAAAACATTTATGTAGAAATGAAGAGATTTCTTGAAAGAGTTTCCAGGAAGACTATGCTGCTCAAAATGTGTATCTGTGGCTTGCAATAGTTTTTTGTTTTGTTTTGTTTTTCATAAAAGACTAGTCGTGTTTTCTATGGGATTTAGAAGAAATGGAACATTCCAGTTTTTTTCACTGCTTTATATAGAGAGGAAATGCATGGCTATTCCTTTGGGCTCTGAACGAGTTAAAGAATAGAAAGATTCCTCTAGAACTTAGGATAGTATTCATAAGCACATTTGCTTCTGAGAATAAGTAAGTGGGGGAAGAATTACTCAGAGATTTCAGAGTTTGAGATAGAAGTGTTTTCCATTTAGGGAAAATAAGTTTAATATCTTCAACAACTCATCATACACGAAGTAGCCCTATCTCTGTTTATGAGTTGGGGATAAATTAATGCACCTTTGGCTATATTTTAATATTAATATTTTCATTCCGGTCTATGAATATTAAAAGAATAGCATTAAAAAGGACTTTGAAAATGTAATAAAATATTATTCATAATAATGTATTATTGGCAGTATTTTGACATAAGTTCTAAAATACTTGCTTCATTAGTTTTTCTATGTTAGGTTTTATTTCTTATAATACTTAAAGATAGAGATATAATCTTGTGTAATGAACTTGAGCAAAAACTTCACTTTCAGAACCCAAATTTAAAAGCATAAAGTTATGTACTGTTAAGACTGGCATTAATTCCACTGACAGAGAAACTGTGAAGATATTATGCTTGGTATTGATATTTACACAAATATATAAATATACATGTAGTAAACTATTCTGATGAAATTTCAGTTACATTTCAGAGTCTAGTTATGGAAACTTGTTGCCGATTTTCCTGGGAAATAAATTCCCTGTAAGTTGAATTTATTATAGTCATTAATGAAAGGCCTCAAATTCTAGGTGTTTTCGTTTTTTCCAGGACTCTGTTTTGTCTTTCTAATTTTTTGGTTATACTGAGGCAACCTAGACATTCACTAGGTATCAAGAATGGTAGTCACTGTGTTAATGTGTTTCAAATATGGAAAAATTATTATTTCAGGAATATATACTTATTTTTTGCTACTTGGAATTTGGTGAAAGAGAACAACATAAAAGTAATTTGCTTTTAAGGCAGTTATATTTAGTTATTAAGACTCATTTAGCTTTTGTTCAACATTGCTTAAAAATGTAAAGTAACTTAATTGAGATGGCTTTTAATTGCATTTGAATTTAAACTGTGTGAGCAAACCAAAGAGTTGTGTTATATCATGGAAATGAATTAAATTGTAAGGATGATATAGAACTTTACTGATTAAAATAAGCGGCACGTGCTCAGTACTTAAGATTTGAAGGACTTTTGCAGTTAAGGAAAACATTATTTTACATTATATGTAGCTCTGAAGAACAGTACGATGGTTATATTCTTAAAACTAAAAACATTCAAAGAAGAAAAAATATTAACTACGTGAATCTAAGATAATGAACAACTCAACCAGGAGAGGTCATCACAAGACAAAAAGTAGCATAAAAACGTAAAAGTAACATTTTTATTTGGTTCAGATTTTCAAAATATGATGACTCTGCTAAAACTTTCTGTTCCCACATCACTTTTTATTATAATGGAAAGTTTTAGAAGATACTGTCAATAGTTTTTCCATTTCACAGCAAATATATTTGAAATATATAACTGCTTGTGGCTCGTTCTTTTTCTTTTCTGTTCTTGAAATGTGTATAGAAGACAATGATGCTATGTTTTCGGCAGGTTGACTAGAATAAAGGCAAGGATGTTCATATCTTGGCTTAAATCTACATATAATCTTATTTCTTTGTGATAGAGAAAATGAAGGGTTGCTAAGTTGATCGTCATTTACCTTCTCCTCCTGTAAATGTATGTGCATGGGGCATAAATGAGAGATTTGAAAGGAACAGTCTACTCATAGGAAGACCTAGAAAGTCACATTTACTGGATCACATTAGAAAGATCCTCACGGTACAGTGCCAAAGGATCAGCAGCTTGAATTATCCCTCAGTAAGTTCAGTTCTAAATGTTATTGAATATGTACTTGAGTAATTATACTCTCAAAAGGGCCAATTTACATTAATTCTTATAACTATGCACCTATAAAGTTTCTGACTGTCATATTTGGGATATGTGTCTACTATTGATTCAAATAATTTCTAATAACATGGGCATATATGCTTATATGTATAGTACAGGTGTATATGTATATGCCTATATGTATATCTGTGTGTATACATACAAGCATAGATGCAGATATATTTTATACAGACTATATATTAATATATTGGATTATACAGACCGTATATTAAATATATTAAACAATATATTTAATATATTAGACTATATACTTATTTTTAAATAATATATTTATTAAAATAATATATTTTAAATAATATATTAATATTATTTAATAATATTATTTAATACTATTATTATACTATTTAATATATTAGACTATATATTAAACATATTTATACAAACTATATATTGAATATTTATTAAATATAAAATCCATATGCATTTCTTAACTTCTTTCAGTTTGTTCACAAGTTTATAGTTAGGGCTTTTCCTGTGCAGTTGCTTGAATAATTAGTAACAATATCAAACAAGAATCTATTGATCTCTTCTCTCTCTCTTCAATTCATAGTCTTCTTGCACAATACTATCTTTGTATGTAAATTCACATAAAAGCCAATACCATCAGGTTATCTTGAAAATCAACTGTGATGAGTTTGCCTTGAGGGAAAATGGAAGTGTGAAAAAGAGTGACCAGTAAAATAACCTGATGGAGTCAGGCTTACTTATGTAATGTTAATTAGTGTATGAAAATTACTATTATCTACATATATGTACATAATCTAGACTTTATTATAGATACTAATATTCGGAAAATAAGAAACGTTTTGAAGTTTTGCTCTTTTATTATCAATGTATGGAAAAACTGGCTTAAAAATCCACAAATTTAATACAGATTTTTATTAGTCTTTATCTATTTATAAACATGTGGCATATTATCTTTAGGTGCCAACATAAAAGTTGTTAGCATATCATCTTTAAAAACCACATTTCAATAGATTTTTTTCTTATTTAAGTTGGCATAAAGTTTCAGGTTCTATAGTTCTCTATGATTTTATTTCAGCTGTGTTTGTGAATAAATTTATCTAGAGAAAAAAGCCAATATTAAAAAATATTAAGCCATTTTGTCTGCTATATCTTTTTATGATTAAAAGCTTGAAGAAATGTGATGTACTGCACGTTTCCTTTTTCTTTTTTTTAAGATAGATATTTTCATTTGTTGTACATAGTACGAAGAGAAAAGATTCTAGGCCCAGAAATTCTTAATTTAAATCTAATTTGTAATTGAGAATATAAATCAGATAGAAGAGCAACTTCTGTATTTTGTCAGCTGAGTAACTGATGTCAACAGGATGAAAAAAATAAATCATGTGCTTTTTAGATTTCCCCATGTTGTCTCAATTTGAGAGCTGTTTTATTTCATTATTTTTTGCTACTTTTAAAGTTAGACTATGCAGCATATAATAAACTTTAAGACTATAGTATCAAGTGAAATAAATTTTTTAATTTCTATGTATATTGTTACTTGAAATGTGTTTTCAGATATATATACTTTTGAAAATAATTGGCTTTCAGAAACTTAAGGTATATTTCTATAACTATCTAATACTGTTCTACAGGAAAAAAATTACTTGTTTATTTTTACTTTCAATAAGCAAAAATAAAGGTGGGATAGCCTTAAGCTAGACTTTAAATTTTTAAATAAAACTTAGTAACGTTATCTCTATCCGAGTGATCAAGTGCTGGACTTTCCCATTTCCTCACATTTGTTTGACATTTGCATTTTAGCTTTAACTGCGTAAAGATGTTGGATGTGGAGTTGACAAGTTTTTTTCCACTCTACTTTTTCCTTTTATGTGAAGGAAACTGCGCTGGTTACACTCTTTGCCACTATAGCAATAGTTTATTCACTTCCTCCCACGTCAGGGAGAGAAGCATCCATCAGTCATCTCTGGGAAACACACTTGCATACTCAAGGCTCAGCCTCTTATTGCTCACTCTGGGCTGCCTGCAGAAAGTCTAGATTCTGCTACAAGACGTATAAGACTAGGCACTGCTTCCGCAAGAAGAACGATAGTGCGAGAGAGCTTATGGTGCTACGTTGCCTGTGACTAGAAGTCTGCTTCATTTTAGAGTTAAAGATAACAAACTCCATTGCTGTCATACATTCGAGCTCCAGCCCTCAGTACTAGCAATAACTACAGAAAGGGTGCTATTCACTTCCTGTCTGTGAGTTTCTTTCTAATT